ACGCCGGGCAGGCCGGCGCTCCCTGACCGCTGCTCCTTGAGGACCCGCCCGGCCTCCGTCACCGCGCGGGCCGGTCCGCGCGCCCCTCTGCAGCCTCGGGGCCCCGGCGGTCGGGTGGTTTGGACCTGGCGTTTGTCCTGTGGCCGTGGCGGGAGTGCGGCCCACGCTGACTTGGTGGACTAAGAACACCTGCCCTAGGCGTTGCAGAACGGGGCAGGAATTTTACATAGCTTATTTAGGTGGAAGCCCTTGACACAGTTGAACTTGACGCGTAACCCCTTACGTGCCTTTCGTTTTCTCTGCAGCCCTGACGGAGGAGCGCGCGCGGAGTTTGTAACGCGGGCTCGGGAGCTTTGGAACAGGCCGGGGAGCCCGGCTGGCACGCTTCCCACCGCTGGGCTGCGCCCCAGCTCCCCGGGTCGCATCCGCTCCCCTCGCTGTTCCCTTTCACCGTGTGTAAAAGGGGTACCACGTCCTACTCAGTCTATGTCCACCAACTGTCTTGTTCTAAGTGAACATACTTAAAGTTGCCTTCAAGTCTGTAATTTGTTTTGTGAAACTTTCATGTAATTGTCTTGGGTAGAGGTTAGCATGGCTCAAAAAATTACAGTTTCACATTCAAGATCCTCTGAAATTTGGCCTTCAGCTACTTCTGTAATCTGGTTTTTCTGCCGTTCTTTGTGGACCTAATCCTGTCAGATGAACTGTTTTGTAGTCACTGCTCTTCTTTACCCTTGCGTATTCATCTCCGGCTTCTGGTTATGACTTCCGTCTAGAAATGCTCTTCTGCTCGTTGTGCCATTTTTCAGTCTTCCCTGTCTTTTAAGGCAGAACTCATACGCCTTGTCACAGAAGCAAATTCTCCTTTGGTTTCTATGGCTTTTAATAGCTACTTCCCGTATGCATCTTTTACCTTGAATTATGCATATTTATCATTTCTATGATAGTGTAAACAACTTGAGATAGAATCTATGTTAGGGTCATCTTTATATATTCCCCATTACTGATCATCTATTGGTGCTTAGTAAATAATTGCTAATTGAATAAGGGTTTAGTAAATAAACGTTTTCACTTAATCTAGTAATGGACCAGTTGATCAGTCATATCTAGAACTAACATCAGCTGTTCGATCTCCTGTAGAATCAACTTTTGTTATTAATTTACAATGGGCAATGTTACATCCTTTTTTAAACCTCTTTTCAAACTTTTCTTTTCTGGATAAGTTAATTACATTTGTGGAACATTTTCTGCCTGTATTAGGCTGGACATGTTGGTCTTTTCCGAACCACCTCCTAACATTAGAAAAACTCAAAAGTGAGATTGGTATATTATTTCGGTGGATTTTTAAAATTTTAAAGAGATAAAAATGATACAGAATTTGAAAACAAGATTGTAGGAAGTTAACAGTGGTTAATATATTACAGGGGTTGGTATATTGTTGAGAAGGACTGTCTTTTAGGAGGTAATTATTTCCCTGAGGATCCAGAATCTTATCCCAGCCTGCTTCATAGTGTCACTAACCGATTATCTCTGTGAGAGTTACGCGCTGAGAGCCATCTTGGTCCTCACCGCAGGGGAATTCAGAGTGAGCATCGCGGGGAGATGACGAAGCTGCTGCTGCTGCTGCTGCTGATGGCAGTGATGCGTAAAGAGCTGTCTGGGCTGGAGTAGGACAGCGGGGCTCCTCACTCGGGCTGCTGTGTGTAGGTTTCAGTATAGTACTCAAGTGGCGCTATGTCCTTAAGGATGGAGTATCTGAGCGTTTAGTCCCTTTGGAAGGACCACCTGGGGCAGGAGAACTAGAGTGACTCCGTGGTTGTTGACAAGCATCCATTCCTCCTCTTCTTCAGCCTTTGGGTTTACCTCAGGGGCTATCCATGGACATGGAGCATTTGGGTGGTTCTGTCACCCTCTGTGGGACAGAGCATGCGCTAGGGACTAACTACAGAAGTTTTTGCTCTCTTACCAATATAGCTCCAAAGGGTGTATTTTGGTGGGGTAGAAACAGGGGCAGAAGCCTGCTGGAAAGAGCCTCTCAGACATTTCCAGAGGAGCGAAGAACACTTAAAGTTCCCTTTTTAAAAATAAAAACATTCCAAGAAATACTGATTTGACAGACTTCCTGGTTTAGGCTGTAGCAGAATCTATGGCAGGGCAACCCATTTCTCTGCAGTCATGGGAGAGACACTGGACAGGCCCACTGGGATCTGCTAATCTCTAGGAGTGCAGTGTTAGCGTTTTATTGACTATGACATTATGTTTCCACCTTGTTTTGTAGACTGGTCAAAAAAAATAATGGATTTTACAGAGGCTTACTCGGATACATGCTCTACGGTTGGACTTGCTGCCAGGGAAGGCAATGTTAAAATCTTAAGGAAACTGCTCAGAAAGGGCCGAAGCATTGATGTTGCTGATAACAGGGGATGGATGCCCATTCATGAAGCAGCTTATCACAACTCGGTAGAATGCTTGCGGATATTAATTCATGCAGGTAAAGTAAGTTCAAGGTAGGGGAGGGTGTGTCTGCAAGCTGGGTTAACAAAACCCAAGATGGTAATGCATGGTAGTATTTTTGTTGTTGTTGTTTGTTTGTGTTTTAAGAAAGGGTTTCACTCCCTAGTTCAGACTTGGCCTTGAACTCACTGTGTAGTGCAGTGTGGCCTCAAACTTCTGACAGTCCCCCAGCCTCAGCCTCCCTAAGTGCTGGGACTTCAGGTGTGCATCACCATGCCTGACTACATGGTAGTATTGATTTCTCTTTCTGTAATCCTAAAATAACTGCCTTACCCTTTAAGGATAGTAAGATCACCTGCCTTAGATTATATCAGTGTGGTGTTTCATCTATAATCACTAAATACTGTTCTTTATGTTGAAAGTGCTTGTGGCTGGCTTATTTTGATTGACTGCCCTAGGTGATATGGCTGAAGTAGTTTTGTATTTTGATTGAAGCATTTACTGATTATATTTGTTCTTCCTTTTCCAAACAAAAGTAGCCATGATACTGAAATTTAGGTTGAGTGTTTTGTATGAATTAGTCTTTTAAAATATTTTTTATTTTGTTTTTTTTCTTCCGGTACCAGGAATCAAACTCATGACCTTGCGCTTGCCAGGCAGGTGCTTTGCCACTGAGCTAAATCCCCAGCCCCTAAAATATTTTTTAAACCAGATATGATGTTGTATACCTGTAATCCCAGCATATGGGAGACTGAGGCAGGAGGATTGCTTTGAGTTCAGGGCCAGCCTGAACTATACAGTGAGATTCTGTCTCAAAAAACAAAAACAGAAAGAAAAGAAAAAACAAAAACAGCTCCCCCACCCCTAACATACTTCCAGTTGGGAAACTTTCCACTTACTTGGACTTCATATCTGCAGATGGTTATGGAGCACGGGCCAAAGCCTGCCTCTGAAGTGCTTGTACTCCTGTCAGGAGAGCCAGCGGCCAGTACCTAAACAGCTCAGCAAGGTCATTTCCAGGGTCTGTGGGGAGACTGAAACTGTAGTGGGCCGGAGTGTTGTGCTGTGCACTTGGGAACCGTCCACGGCGGCTGCGCCGTTGGTACCAGAGTCACCCAGCGCCACCGACTCGGTGTTTCCCTTGGCAAAGCCAGTGACACGTGACCAGCATCCCCGCCCCAGCGATGGGCGTGGTCTGGAGGAGAGGGTCTGATGCTCCGGAGAAAGTGGGTGGGGAGGCCCCCCAGGTGATGGAGCTGCGCTCTGTGCGGGCCCTCCTGCCGGATGATTGATGTACACTTGTTATCTAGTGTGTGCAGAACTGTTAGAGACTGTGAGATGCTTATCCTCCCTTTACTCGTGGAAAGGCAAAGCCTCAGAGAATTTGACTTAGACCAGTGGCGGCGGACCTTTTCAAGGTTTCAGTAAACAACAGCCTGCTGCAGCGCGCGTGCTATGTAGGTTTGCTACCACTAACTGGTTACCTGATTTGAACCCTTGCCTCTTTGACTCCAAAGCTTCAGTTTCTTTTCCACCACACCACGTTTCCAACATTTAAGTGAAGTAAACATGTATAGCATTTAGTTAGTTTAAACTGAGGTTGAATGTAACATTTCATGTTGTAACCCTCGTTGTAACCCTCTCCTGTGTTCATTGAATAAAGCAGGTGTGAATGCATATTCCCTGCTGTGTGCTTATCACCAAGTACGTGTAGACTTCTGGGTCCAGAGCTCATCAGAACTACGAACTCACTGCTTTCCATTGGTTTCGGTAGTGATTTTTTCTTTCCTTTTTTTTTTTAACTAGAAAAAATATACAAATGATCTTTCCTTTGCAGTGCTAGGGATTAAACCCAAGGCCTGGCACAGCGAGGCAAAGCGCTCTATCCCTGAACTATCCCCCTGCCCCCACAGCAGATGAGCAAAGGCAAGGTTAAACTCTCCAAACTGTAGTACAGGAGGTTTGTTATGACTACTTTAAAGTGAGATACTACAGAAAGAGTCTTTCCAATTTCAAAAGCTTAAGGTATGTTTGCAGACGAAGTTAACTGTGAAGTTTCACAGTTGAGTCCTCAAGCTATCTCTAGTGACAAAGACAAGAGTTTGTGTGTTTGTTTTTAGTCTAACAGCTCATTCTAATATGAATCTTTGCCCACATCAGAATAGTGTATTTTGTATGTGTTACAGAATTTTTTTTCTTCTACTTGCTGAGTGATCCTGGGCATACTTTTAAATGAAGGTGTTTGAACTGGTGGTTCTAATTCATCTGTATTTCCTTTAGAAATTTTGAATATGAACTTTGTCGTTAATGATATCCTTGTTTTGAATTTGATGCCTTTGGAGGATAAAGTGTAGCCATACATAGCTAGCTGTGTGCCTCGCTGTTAATGGCGAAACAGCGTTTTCACTGTACTCACTTGGAGTTCACCGTTATGCGTTAACTTGGGGTAAATTTCTGTATAGTGTGTGTACAAGGCTTGGAATAGGAGTAGGAAGATACGAAGTAGGATTTTCAGAGGGTGAGAAACAGGCATATCCAGTATTTTAGGAGATAGTGGCCATTTTGGGCTCAATCTTTGGTGAATCTGGTTGGTATGATTTAATTTAAAAATTTCAGCATGATTTAAATTCTACATTGACCAATGAGGAATGCTGACTTGTTTTATAAAGTGTAGGTAGCATAAAACTACATGTGAGGAAGTGTATTTTTAAAGATTTTTAATTACTTTTTTCAAGTTTAAAATGGATAAATAAATAAGTTAATCTTTTGTGGTGCTGAGTTCCCAATCCCAGGGTGTTACACATGGTGGGCAGGCATCTTTCACTGAGCTACACCCCAGTCTTGTTTTTTTTAAGTGATATAAAAATTGTACATTTTTTATTCTTTTAAAAATTATGATTATTAACATATACTGATAGTACAATATATTTCTTTGTGATATTTTTATACATGAAAATATTGTACTTCCATTGCATCCATTTTGCCTGTTACCTTCTTTATCCTCGGTTCTCCTGATCCCTTTCTTTCCAGATTATCCTACACGTCGTTTTCTTTTGTTGTTGTTTCTTGTTTTTGTAGAATCCAGATGCAAGTGAAACTTGGTGCTTGTCTTTCTGAATCAGGTTTATTTTGCTTAACATCGTAATCACCAGGTTCATTCATTTTCCTGCAAAATGACATGATTTCATTCTTTTTGGCTAAATAGTATAGCCAAAATATATTCTTTGTATATATACAAATTTTCTTTATCCATTCATATGTTGATATGCATGTAGGCTGATTCCATAACTTGGCTGTTGTGAATAGTGCCATGATAAACATGAGTGTGTAGGTGTCTCTGTTATATGCTGACTTTGAGTTCTTTGGGTATAAACGCAGGAGGACATATAGCTGAATCATGTGGCAGTTTTATTTTTTGTTTTTTGAGGAATCTTCATACCGTTACCATAGTGGCCATACTGATCAACATTCTCATCAACACTGTATACTGACGGGCTCTTTTCCGCTTTCATCTTTGCCCGCATTTTTGGTTTTGTTGATAATAGCATTGTATCTAGGATGAGATAGACTCTCAGGGTAGTTTTGATTTACATTTCCCTGATTAATAAATGATAGTGTATATTTTTTCATATAATTATTGACATTTATATTTTTTGAGAAATGTCTATTCTGCGCATTTGCCCATTTACTGATTGGATTATTCTTTTGTGTTGAATTTTTTGAGTTTTTTTTTTGTATTCTGGATATTAGTCCTCCGTCAGGTGAATAGCTGGCAAAGACTTGCTTCTTATTCATATCCTCTTATTTCCTTTGTTGTGTAGAAGATTTGAAATCTGATATAATTTCACTTGTGAATTCTTGCTATTACCTCCTGTTCAAGAAGTCATTGTTTATACCAGTATCTTTTATTGTTGCCTTAAGCTCATTGGTAGTTATGGATCTGTTAGGTTTTTTATACCCTCTTAGTTCAATTTTGTGATTATTAGCACATACTGATAGAATAATATATTTCTACAGATTTGTTCATCTCTAAATCTTCTAGTTTGGCATATAATTTTTGAACAGTTTAAAGTACTGTACTATAGTCAGTCTATCTTTTAATTAGAGAATTCAGACCATTTACATTGAGGGTTATTATAGAAGAATATATGCGAGTTTTTCTTCTACTTGTTTTGAATAATCAGTATTTATTTTTTTCTCCTTTGACTATTTTACAGGTTTGGTGGTTTACTGAATTAGTTATCTTAGATTTTCTATTCTTCTAATAGGATTTATTCTTTTCCATGCTCCTATAGTTGTGGTTTTCTTGCTTTGTGTAGGATCCTTTTGAGTATTTTCTGTAATGCTGGTTTAGTGGTCATGATTTCCTCTTGTTTATGCTGTATGAAGAAGCATAGTAATATGTTGAAGATTCTTAGATAAATAACAGCATAGTGAGTAAGAGTTAATGGTCACCGAAATCTAGGCTGCAGTTACTCTGCCACTTCTTTGGTGTGACTTTGGACAGGTCTTTTAACTCCTGAGTGGTTCATGCTCTTCATTTATAAAATAGAAACATTATATTGTTCCAGGTTAGGTCAGAAACTCTGGGCCTTTCTTAATTCCTTTTTTCTCACATCCCTTGTAACAAATCAGTAAATCCTTCTGCTTTTGTGTAATAGTGCTTATGAATATGTATTCATACATGCACATACACAACATCAGGCATTCATTACTACCGTTAAGAGCCTGGTCTGAGCCATATGGTCTCTTGCCTGGCTTGCTGCAGTAGCATGATAACAGATTTTCTGTTTCAGCCTTGCTCCCTCCCCTTCCCACTGCAGGTGACCTAGAACATCAGTTACTGTTTTTAACTGTATCAGACCATGACTCTGCTCAGAACTCTGTAAGCGTTCCCCATGTCATTCTGAGTGGAAGCACTATCGCATGGCCTTTTGTAGTCTACATGCAGTGTAATTAACTGTTGTTGTGTGGATGGATACTTTATTTATTAATGTTTTGCTATTATAAATAGTGCCTTAATGAACGTCTTTGTAA